ACACATGCTCATAAAACATCCCAGTGCCTGACAGTTAATCAGTGTTGTATTGGCTTGCATTGATCCATTCCAAACTCTATTTGAATATCATAACTAACATTCTTGACAATTTTCAACTGTAACTCATAAAGCTATCTTAGATTTATCCCAGAAGTTCAAATCCCAGGGGAGAACTGATGGCTTATGTGATGAGCTGGCCCCATGTTTTCCATACATCTACACATACCAAGGACCACATCATTTCAAGGTGCTGACTTGACCCAGTTTTCAGCAACTTCATTTTGTATTCACTTTTTGTCACAGTTCAACATGAGAATAGTTTAAACATCGTATTGATGGTACTGAAAATACTACAGTGGAAACTGTCTTGCTTCAGAAAGGCAACCACTTTCATCCTCTTTAATTGTTTCTTCTGACATTTATTTCAATATTTATAAATGCTGTGCTTCTCCTACTATTTATTGATTAATAAAACATTTATCAGCTTCCTGCTATAAAAGATGAGGATTCAGCTCTTGCACCTCCAACATCTGCTTGTTCCCTTCTTCCTTGCTCTCTCCTTCCCAAAAGAGTTATATGCAATCTTTGCTCCCTTGCTTTCATCTTTCCAAGTAATTTTATTATAATTTTGTGTTAACTAGATGGTCAATTTGTACACTGTTTTGCTATTGCTAACTTTTGATTCAAGTATCATACTACAATTACATTTCTTTCCTTACACAAGTTTTATATTTCCTCAAATTATAAATTGCCTTTTTCATTTCCTTAACTTTCCATGCACCGATAATTGTTTTTTTCAAATGCTCCCACATATCTGTCAAATGCCATGTCTGTTATAATATCCAAATCTCAAAAGCAGTGATAAACTTTTAATTTCCATTTTTTCTCAATTCTCCTGCCTTACTTCATCTTGCAGTTCCTGTCTAGGGCTATTTCAGAGGTGTCATATGGGCGTATCATTTACCTCTCTGTGTCAGTTCTTCTGTTGTGCACTGGATCTGATATTTTCCTCTTCTTTGATTTATTCCCTCATCTTTCTAAGGCAGCTCTTCAGTAGTGTTCTAAGAAAGGGTATGTGGAAAGTAAATATTTTGAATCCCTGAAGATCTGAAAATGTATTTATTCTGCCTTCATACTTTTTGGTAATTTGACTAGGTATAAAATTCTGGGTTGGAAATTATTTTTTGTCTCAGAATTTTTAAATTCCACAATTTTTGAAGCTCCATGGCTTTCTAGTTTCCAAGTTGCTTTTGGGAAATCCATTCTTCCTCTCTTCTGCTAAATTCCTCACCATACCTTCAGTTTCTTTCTACCTTCCAAATATGTGTTGAACACTCTTCTACTCTTGCCACTTCTCCTAGTAACCTTGTTATTTGGGGTTTATACCATTTTTTAATTCTTGGACTGTAATTTTGGTAGGATTTTGGTATGATTCAGTGGGAAACTCATGTGACCGGTCTACCATGTTTACACAAAGTCCAGTGATGTCTTTATGTTTCCGAGTATTTAAACCCATGCAATCCCTTTTGCATATATTTTAACACTTTTACTATTAGCGACCCTGGGAGTAGTTAGTACTATTCCATTTGATGATAGGACGGCTGAGGATCCAGGAAGGTTAGTAGCTTTTTTAAGTTTAAAGAGCCGGCATGAGACAGATTCAAATTTAAAATCATGTTTTTCCCACTCTATTGAAGCATTAGGGTCACATTCAGTGATGCCTTTGTGAAGTTGGTCACTAGTAATAGAACAAGTCAGACCATAGCTTCCCCATAGCTTGCTACAGTGAACTAACAACACTGCTGTGATGTGAATTATTCCTTTAAACTATTCTCTGAGCCACAGAATACAAGCTTTCTTCTTCGGTCCCTCTTGTTATTCCCCAGTAGAAATTGGAACACCTAAAACCAAATAATTGCTGGTGGTCTGACTCATACAAAACAGTGGAGTGTATTAGAGCAGACAAGGAAAAATGAAATTATGGTGTTCAAGTCTGAAGGAAAATATACCTTAATATATAATGGTGCTATTTCAGAGTCCAGCACACAATGAAATAACTTTCCTCTTTGAAGCTTTTACTTACATTCTCACATAGGGCACAAACAGCATTCTCTAATTTGAAAACAAAAAATAAGTGATTGCTTTCTAAATCCACTCTTTTGAAGGCATTGCAGCCTTTCAGCTAAGTAGTTATTCTCAAAAAGGAAAAGAGACTTTCCAACTGGTATTTATGAACAAGCACACATACTCTGTAATTCGTGGTGTGTTTATATGTCACTTTGACTTTCTGTGGTTATAATAGCAGACATGCTTTGTGTAAATGATGCCTTCCTGAAGGGAGTTTTCAGGTAATACCTCCTGAAGGGTTTCTAGGTCCTTGTCCAATCAAGAGTTTGCCTCTTGCTTCTCCTAGGTAAGTGTCAGGTTTCTGTACTCCCTTATTTTATTATCTAATTACCCCCAACTGCATCTTCATGTAGGTTAAACAACCCAAATAAAAGGAGGAAATGTTTGAGTCAACTAGTGAAGGAGTGAAACTAGGCAGGCCCTCCTCTCATCTGGGGCAAATCATTCTACTGCTTGGACCCTCAGGCTTCTCATCTATAAAATAAAACTATACAGATGGATGATTGTCAAGTCCTCTTTCAGCTCTTGAATGCCATTTCTACACCATCAATGAATCAACCTCAATTAATTATCTAAAGTAGTCACCACTGTTTCAATACATATGTGATTAGGAAAGAATTTGTTTATTAGTTTATTTAATACTAATTCATTGGACATCATACTCAGAGCTGGGTATACAGTGACAAATGAACAGACTCAGTCTTTAGGCTCATTGAGTTCATAGTCCAGAGAGGGAAAAGCAGACAAAAACAAACTCTTAAATAAATATAAATTGTAATAAATGCTATGAAAGACAACAACAGAATGCTGTGAAAAAGAGTAATAGGAAAAAGATAATTTAGATGAGGATAGGGAATGTTTCCAGGAAAGCTTCATTGAACAAATGACAAGAGATCCGAAGGGTGAGGAGTAGCTAGCCAAGTGAAGAGTGATAGAAACAGCATTCCAGGCACATAGGGCAGCATGCATAAAGACCCTGAGGAATTAAAGAGCTTGTGCATTCAAGGAACTTGAAGAAGGCCATGTGGCAGAGCATAGCAAACAAGAGGGGGTGCCCTGAGATAAATATAGAAATGGGCTCACACCAAATCATACAAAGCCTCACCACCATGGTGAGAATTTTGTATAACATCAGAAAGACAGAGAGAATCTACTGGAAGATGGTTAAGCAAGAGAAGGAGGTGACTCAAGTACACTTGTAAAAGATTACTCTAGTCACTGTGCACACATGGAGGAAGGCAAAAACAGATAAAGGCAATTCAATTAGGAATTAGTCCAGACAAGGGATGATGGCGGTTTGGATGAGGAGGCGATGGTGGAGAAGAGGGTGGGTTTTATATATCTTAGGATATCCTCATTTTGCATCTATGGTCAGCTGTAATCTATAGTGGGATACCTGTGGCCTCATGTCTCATGGTATATGGACATATTAATTCCTATACCTCCACTGAGGTATAGGGAGTCCCATTGCCTCTCCTAGCACTCTTCTTGGGCAGCATTCCACATGATCCAAATCTGATCCACGGGAAGTACTCATGTATCCTTTTCCTGACAAGCTTTTAAAGTGTAGGCCTTTCCTACATGGCTGTCTCTCCTCAGTAAGCTGACAGGACCACTCGTCATCCACATCTCTCACCTTAACACTTTCCCAGGCATAGGTATGGCCACAGCCGTGTGTCCCACAGACTCCAGGGGACATAGGCAAAGCTTTTAAAATAGTCTCCTTGAAGCCCCTCTCCATAGGACTGAAGAGAGAAGAAAACACCCCCATCCTTCTCATTACGTTAGAGGAGTTAGGATGAACCTAATCGTACCTCAGCAACTCTACAAAGAAATCTTCTCTCCAATCTCCCACCTCTCTTCCTCTTTTCTAATATATACTTGATATACGTGGTCATCTAAGAACTGTAAAATCCATTTTGGAACCCCATTTTTGAGGCCTGCTTGGGAGCCTACCACCTCACTTCCATATGTCAGAGCAGATGACATCTGTTATGCCATATACTCTTGTTCTGGCTTAAATGGAGACAGAAAACATCCCACATTAACATCCCCTCCTAGCCTCCATCCAAACACTTTCTAAAACATTGGATGCAGGTGTCCAACACGACTTCCATCTTTCTGAAGCTCCCACACCCCACCCTTTTCTTTGTCCTCCCAGTGCCTCTCCACTGCTGCTTCCTTGGGTCTTGGTGCAGCAGTGCAGTTGCCAAGATGCCTCTCTGCCTCTCCTCTCCTCCTCTGCCTTCTTTCTTCTCACCCTGTTATGGCGCCTTGTCCCAGGAAGCTAAATGACTCACTGCAGCAGTGGTTTCATTGCCGCCTACTTCCTCTTCTTCTGCCCCCAGGCAGGGGCTCGTGTCTGATCGAGACTTCTCTCCCCCACTTTAGGGCACCCTCAGCCCCACGTCCACACAGACCATGCTGTTCCTCCTTTATCAGTCATTTTCCTGAGTTTGTCCAACAGCTCAGACTCTGTGATGGGAATTCAGGTAAAAATGGGCAAAATTTCAGGACTTGCCCTACTCAGCAAGACATATAGAAGAGCAGAAATGGGTGATCTATATGCAGAGCAAGGAAGTGGAATTTGCTAGCTTGAATTGAGGGAACAATGAAAGTGGAGGAGGCTGAGATTTTCTGGAGTAATGAATTGGAAAGGGGTGAGGGTAAACCAGAGCTGATACCTTAGGTAGAAAATGTGGGAGAAGGTAAAAGAGTCTCCCATAATATTTTGTCCATTTTGAAAGCTTATGCAAAAGTCACAGAAAAAAATTACTTGGATTATGGGAATAACAACTTTTTCAGGGATTTCATACTAGTCACCAGGAAAGGGTTGGTTGTATCCTAACCAAGGCTCACCATATATCTGACAGGAACAAACGCTAAGCATGGACTGCGCTGCAAGGCCTGTAAGATGAGCATCCACCACAAGTGCATGGATGGCCTGGCATCCCAGCGGTGCATGGGCAAGCTGGTAAGGGCTTGTGCCAGGAGTGAGCCCCAGAACTCCCTGCACAGGGCACTTGCCTCCCTGATGAGATCATCCAAACTCCTTTCCTGCAGGGCACTGAGAACTGGGCACCAGGAAAGTAGCCCCAGAATCCCTGGCTGACCAACTTGGCTTCCTAGTTGACATAATGATAGAGCAGAGGAGGAGCTTTGTCAACCTAAGAGACGAATGCCCCACATGTGAAAAGGACTCAGTGTCCTTAAATAGGGTGACCAACTTGTCCTGGGTTAGAACTTTCTCAGTTTTAGTACAGGAAGACCCACATCCTGAGACTGTCCAGGTTTTAAGAGTGAAAGTCAAGCATCCCAGGAACCCCCTCAGCCCCATGCAAACTAGGATGGTTGGTCACCCTAGTGCTTAATTGGCTGACAGCTCAATAGCTGTCCAGAATGGGATAGAGATTAACCACCCCCACAAAAGTGGAGAGAGTAATAAAAATCTTTACCACTTTAACAGATCATGGTGGCCAAACCAAGGGAGATTGGATAGCCCATTCTGGGCTGATCATACCATCTCAGGAGTGTGGGCTTTAGTACTGGTCCCACACATTGATAAAAAGCAGCCCAGAGCACTTTTGTGGATAGTTGAAACTAGGATGGCCAGAGAATTGTAGAAGGGACCAAGAATATCTACCCTAGAGATACTTAGGACATGATAGCTGTCTTTAAAAAAATTTAAGACCTGTCACACAGAAGAGAAATTTAATTGTCCTCTGTGGCTCCAGAGAAAAGATCTAGGATCAGTCAGAGATAATGTCACTGAAGATCTGCCTGCTACCAGGGTTAGTGAGAGCACCTCCCACCCTCCAACCCCCCATCACTGGCAGTGTTCAAAGGAGGATACCACTTGCCAAGAACATTGGAGAGGATTCTTTAGTTGTAATAGGGGCTGGGCCACTAAGTTTCCTTCCAACCCTGTGATATGGTAAGGTAAGATTCTTAGAGAGTTCATCTCCTTACTCTGAATGGCAATGTCCTCTTCTCTAAAACCCATGCCTCACTTGTTCCCTTCCTCCTCCAATGGCGATTCCCCAAGCCAAGGCAAAGACCATGGAGGAGAGGTCAGAAAAACAGAATGACATCTAGAACACAAAGAAAATGATTCTGGGTAGAGCTGATCAGACAGAGAAGGGCCTTAAGGCCTACCTCTGAGGTCTGCTTTCCCATGCCCAGGCCTTTTATGATTTTAATAAACCACAGTAGTAAACTGTAGTGAAATAAATGCATGCTGGTCCATTTGTATCCTGGGAGATAATGAGGAGCCTGGACACAAGGGAGGCTACAGTGGGCTGCAGAAGGAGGAGAAGGACAGGGAGGGGCAAGGCTGGGGACTTGCTTTCTGGATGGAGTGTAGCTTGTTTATTGGCACCTGTACCTCCCCGCCCCCAGGGATAAATTATAGGACAAGTCAGCATTTTATTTATTTTTTGTGTGTGTGAGGAAGATCAGCCCTGAGCTAACATCCATGCCAATCCTCCTCTTTTTGCTGAGGAAGACTGGCCCTGGGCTAACATCCATGCCCATCTTCCTCCACTCTATGTGGGACGCCGCCACAGCATGGCCTGACAAGCAGTGCATTGGTGCGCACCGGGGATCTGAACCCGGGCCGCCAGCAGCGGAGCACACGCACTTAAGTGCTATGCCACGGGGCCGGCCCCCAAGTCAGCATTTTAAAGGGAGTCAGGGAGGTGCCCCTGGAGAAACCAACCGGTTTCATTTTTAGAGCTCTTTTGTGATTTTCTCCGTGACATTAGGCCCTTCTCTTTCTCATTCTCTCTCCAGCCAAAAGGGTTTCGGCGTTACTACAGCTCCCCCTTGCTCACTCATGAACAGTTTGGATGCATTAAAGAAGTTATGCCCATTGGTGAGTTGGAACATTGGTGGGTTGAGCTGGGTTTTGAGCAGCGATGTCAGCATTCATGGCTGCTATTCTCCCACGGCTTCAAAACCAGTGGGGTGTGTTTGTGTATTTGTTTGGTGGCTGATGGGGTTATGATTGTTTGTTTGTTTTGCTGGAGGGGAAACACAGAGTGGACGAAATTCTCTAGGAATTTTCATCCTCTCCCTGATGAAGCTCAAAAAGCACCCAAGTCCCAAAGGCTGCTGATTTACCACCCCCCCATCAGCGGTGTGGGAGAGTGAAAAGAGCATGGAGTGTGGCATCCCACAGACCCGGCTCAAAGCCCACCCACCTTCCCCATTGACCAGATGTGTGTCTGAAGAGTTACTCGACCTGTCAGACCCTATAAAATGAGAACAGCAATGGCTGCTTTTCATAATTGTTGTAAAAAGTCAATATAAATTATAGACCATTGCTTAGGAGGAACTCAGTGAGTATCAGCTATGCTTTAATGAGGACCAAAAAAGTCTTATATTTATAGATATTTCTGGCTTGAATTTATTCTTTAACAGTATCTTTCAGTTCTATTTTTCCTCTCTCTCTGAAAATCTCTACATATTTTTTTGCCTTTTTTGGAGGAGAGGGCAAGTTTTAAACTAGAAACTTATGAACTAGAAAGCTTTTAATTAGAAATTCATGAAGCCTGGTAATGTCAAATTCTTTCAAAAATACTTGCTTCCTACTGCAAACTTTGTGTCTCGGGCTTTTTACCTTGGTGAGCAGAGCCTCACGCTAGAGGAAGGAAAGCTGGTCTCTGGGAAGAACCTTGAAATTGGAGTCCTGGAGATGGAAACAAAAGAGGAAAACCAATCAATCAGGAAGTATTTGGGAGCAGAGAGTGCTGGGTGCAGTGGAGGGACCTGATAAATGGGCACATGTCATGGGGAGCACATCTCTGAGGAAAACTTGACCACAAAAAGCCCCATTTTCTCAGGCTCAGCAGACCCACTTCTTGGTTGCTGTTAACCCAGGAGATGTGACAGGTGGTTGGCTGTGTTCCTGACAGTGAGTTGAGGAAACCTTTATCTCAGATGAGCTTTCTCTTCTGTTGCAGCCTGTGGCAATAAGGTGGACCCTGTCTACGAGACCCTTCGCTTCGGCACCTCCCTGGCCCAGAGAACAAAGAAGGGCAGCTCCGGCAGTGGCTCCGACTCGCCTCACAGAACCTCTGTAATTGTCCTCTTCCTCCCTCAGTCCACCCACAGTGCTCTTGGGCAGGGCAGGCCTCAGGCACTGCAGTGTGAGAGGTGCCACCTAAATGAGGGCGGGTCTTTAGGGAGTCAGGCAACCTCCAAAGGGAATCCTAAAGTGCCTTGGGCACTAAAGGCCAATTTTCTGTTGCCAACACCCAGAGATCATTTGACTTTTCTCTTCGGAGACCATGCTTTTGTCATTTTGCTCCTTGACTCTTCCCACATCCTCCCGCTCCCTCACCCTCGCACCAATATTAGATAACATGTCAGTGAACACATACAGAGGTTTGACCCAAACAATGGGTAGAAGCAGGGAAGTCCCAGTTGTGTCTGGTTCTCCTTCCAGCTACATCCCAGTTCAAGAACACAGCCACTTCTCACATTTTATCAGTCCTTTCTCTCTAAGACAAGGTACGTCCCGTGGTTTCACACAGAGGCACTTGACCTGTGACTTTGTGGGGCTTCTCTCTATGGGACACTCACCCTCCCAAACACCTCTCCTATATTTTAGCCGATCTAAAATGAGTGTTCCATAGATCTCTGTGACCTACTATCATCATCCTGTCCTGGTTGTCCCAACTAGAATTTCTATAAATGCCCCAAGACGCCACACAACTCTGCAGCTCATGCTGAAAGCCACCATTTCTCCTGCAAAGAGATGAGGACCTTCTAATTCACATTTCCCATTAGACTAGCTTGCATTCAGTTATCGGTTCCATTGTTGCAGCCTCTGCTGGACTGGGGACTTTCGGGCAAGACACAGATGAACCTTCAAATCGTCTGCCCTACTGGGTCTTCTCAATATGAAGTGATTAAGGTGGATTGTGTGAGATGGGCAGGGCATACCCACTGGGAGGGGCTGTCAGGGGCTGAGTTGAAGCAGCTCTCTCATTGGGTGTGGGTCAACCCACAAGATAACTGAGATTGTAGTGTATAGATAGGTATGTAGGTCAGGTAGGTGAATAGGTAGGTATGTAGGTCCTCTGACCCATACCACGTGGTTATCCTGGAGGCCATCTTTAAACTCACTGAAAACCCTGTTCTTCATGGATCCTACTGGATTCTAAAGGGAAGAACTAAAAATAATTTTTACTCCTTTTCTTTGTTATACGTAAAATTGATGTCAATTAGTTTTTTCTTTTACTCAGCGAACATGAATTAAGTGCCTATGATTTGCTAGCATTGTAGAGGACACAAAAGAAGTAGAAGACATGGCTCCTTACCCTTAGAATTCACAACTTATTCCCAAAGACAAAACCAATAGAGAAGAAAGCTGATGATGGTGGCATTATTTGGCATTTTTTTTAAAATACACTTTTATATGTCTTATCCTATTTTTATTAAGAAGAACAGAACATATTTGTGTTAAGGGTATTATAATAACTATATCATATGAATGCTGAAGGATTTCATAATAAAGATCGAAAATGTTTAGCTTCAGTAAGCATTGCCTCAAAGCAGTGAGGGCATAATTTGTGAAATTTTAAGATACTTGATCCTGATGATCTTCTTAGGGAGGCTATAAATCAAATTGGCAGTCCCAATGATAATGTCAATTAATTTACTGAAAGAAGCCTAGAAATGGTGTCAAATGTGATGATAACATACAAAGTGCATATGGATAGGATTTACATTATATACAAATATGTTCTGGCTGCATGGATTGGATAATAACAATAGTATAAGTAGAGTTTCTAGCACAGGGCCTGGCATAATTGGCACTCAATACATAGAAATTGTTGCTGTTTTATTTTCATTAAGCATCTAGGCCTTACCTGGATTTTCTTTAAACTTGAATTATTATGAAACGAAACAAGAGTGTAATCCATCAGAAAGGCAAATACGTTATCTGAGAAGAGCATTTCCCAGAGCCACCCTTTAACAGGGCCCATTCTCAGGCTCTGTAGGAAACCCCTGACTCAGTCAAGGGCTCCACTCTGTTCTTCTGCTCAGCCTGTCTTTCCTGATGTGTCCTCTAGTCATTCCTTAAGTTGGGGTGTTCCCAGTGGTCTGCTTTGGCTTGATCTTCTTGTTCTACATGCTCTTTCCAGTTATCTTCTTCACATTCCTCTTGTCCAACCACTGTCTCTAAGCTAATGACTCCCTTAGATATTTCTAGTCCTAAGCTCTTGCACAAGTGCCAGCCCAGTCCTACTGATATCTCAAAATCAGCATGTCCAAACTAAACTCATGCTCCATTGGTGATTAGGTCCCATAATTCAGAACTCAGACATGTGTTTCAAAAGGCCCTTCCTCTCTATCACCAATGCTGGAGGTTTGAACCTTATCATCTCTCACCCAAATCATTATAAAGGAATAACTGTGCTTCCTGCTTCCTTTTCAGTCTACTCTTAGCAATACCTCCAGATTTATCATCTTTTAAAGAAAGGCCTTGTGCAATTTTCCTAATTAAAACACTCTATTGACTTGCCCAAACTCTTTAGCATGGCACATAAGGCCTGTCCCTACCTGAAAGACCCACCATCCCCTGAACTTGCCGAGCTCTTTGACATCTCCATACCGTAGAACATGCTGTTCCCCCAGTTGAATTTCTTTAAGACCAAGGTTGGTTTTCACACAAACTATGAAGAGTTCTCAGACTCCCCTAAACATGGTGAGTTGCTCCTCCCAGGAGCCTTCAAAAATTCCTTTCTTAAAGGATATAGATAATTGCATTGTAATTATCTGCTTTTGCATCTCTTTCCTGAACTAGATACTGAGAGACTATACATCAGGGCCCCATTCCTTATCCGTCTCATTACACCAAGCCTGGCACATAGTGGGCCCTCGAGAAATGCTAGAAGAATGAGGAAGAATTAACAAGGGATTCTTGAAGGGATTCTCAGAACCCTCAGGGATCCACACAACACTTCTTTGCTCACACCCTCAGCTCCAAGCACAGTTTGCTGCTCTCTGGATAGCCGTGCTCAATCCAGTTGCTGGGCCTTGCCCACAGCTTCTCTCTGCCTCTATGCAGACAACAGCTCTCTTCCTGGTTTGGGTTGGGTGCCTCCTCTCTGGGCACCCATAGCAACCAATTTATTAATCATAGTGATTTGCATATTGCTTGGTAATTTTCACTTTTTTGTTTCATTTTTCTCTTCTCCAGTCCCTTCCTCATCTAGACTAAGCTGCTTAAATGCAAGGACTTTTTGTCCACTTCTTTTTATTTCCATTACTTTATACTAGTCATTCTTAAACTTTGATGGCTATCGGAATCCACTGAAGAGCTTCGTAGAAGTATAAAGGCAAAGGCCGTGTCCTACTTCAACAAGCCTAGGCCTCTGTGCACTTTTTTAGTTCTCCAGGTGATTCTGATACCCTCCCAAGTTTGAGAACCACTGATTTACACTGTGCCAGGCCGTTGTAGATTCTCACTAAATATGTGGTGAATGAATGAATGAACACTCTCCTCAGGGAAACTCCTTAGACTTCTAAGAAGGGCCTAAAGCTGGCGATGAGTTAAATCAGTGGTTCTCAATGTCTCTGGGAACGTTACCTGGGAACTTGTTAGAAAGACAAATTTGTATTTTCCTCTCAGACTTACAGAATCAAAAAATCTGAGGATGGAGCCCAACAATCTGGGTTTTAACAAACCCTCCAGGTGATTCTGACGCACATGAGAGGTTGAGAATCACTGAGTTAAATTATGACATACATTTAGTTCCAAGAAACCAGTCCTGCCAGCCTCTCCTCTTTCATTTTCATATTCTTTCTTGTTTGCTCACACTTGCTCTTGCTCCCTCTCTATGTGAACAGCTCTTGAATCACACATTCACAGTGGCTACCAGGCTGGATCTGAAGTTGGGAACAGAGATTCAAGAATGCTAACGGTGTCCCTAAGCCCACGTACCACGTTGCATCTCCTTCCTCAGGACAGTGACGAAGGCCATTGCTGTCGATGAGTTGGTTCCCCCAATGCCGCGTAGAGCTGGCTCGCAGCCTGTAGCCATCCCCCGTACAAGTTGAGACTTTTTTAGATACCACCCAGGAATCCAAAAGAAAAACACAAACAGCACTGGCCAGAGCAGAGAGACCGCTGTCCACTTTGAGCTGCATGCTGAAGGGGCCTTTCTCACGCCTCTGATGAGAGCCAGTATGTCCTCATCCCACTCCCAGTGCATGCATCTCCCATGCTTGTCTGAGGCTGGCATCGGTGGAAGGGCAAACGGAAAGCCAGCCAAGGGAGGCAAGAGCAGAGAGGAGGCCCCCAGAGACAGCCGGAACCTATCCGCATCAGCAGCAGATGGCTGCTCCCGTGGTTCTGAGCTCTGCTGAACTCATGACACAGGGGCATCCTCAGAAACACAGGGTCAGCAATGAACACTTTAGCCTCCACATTTTTGGCTTATGCTAAGAAGCAGCAAGAACATCACAGAGACAATTTAAGGATGTCCAGTATGCTTTCCTGTCTAAAATAGTTTTGTTTCTAGTAATGTCTGCAGACTGGTTTCAGGGGCAAAAAGCATAGTTTTCTGAATGTCAGTAAGGTGTCCATTCATCATAGTCCACTCATGCTTCCTGGCACTGATTCTATCCGTAAATATTTCTTGAAATTTTGCTCTGTGAGGGCATTGTTCTGAAAGCCGCAAGGAGACAAAGACAAATCAAATTATTCTTAAATATCTGCCACATCACTCTTCCCCCAGAGTCCAACTTGCCTCGGTGGAAGAAAACAGGAACAATTGGTTGGTACTTTAAATTGATTTTGCTTCCTTCCTGCAGGGTCAAATGATAATGAACTTCAGCTTCTTGCCGTTCTCGGTATTGTTATGTCCTACAGCTAACATATTCCCACATAGCAAAGCTCTGGCCCACAGGTTTACTTTCTTCCAGGGCTGTAAAAGCATTTGCTTTACATTGTTGGGAAGTCACTGCCTGGCTGTTTCGAAATCGTGATGTTTCCTTTAATGTGCTTTCAAATGTTCTAGAATACAAAAGGCTTGATGGCTTTGGGAAGAAACCAAATTCAAAAAACTTTCTGGGGGTTGGTTGGCTAGTTTATGAGTAATCTTCAGTTTCATAAGGTTAAATTAACATCATAATAGCAACTTTTGTTCAGAAATAGTGAGCTTCAAAGAAGCAGGGTACGAGCAGCTTAAAGACCCTGTGACATTTGTTTTTTTCTCATTTCTGATGTGGCGTGAAAGTAAGAATAGCTGAAAAAAGTCTGAAAGCTGAATTGTAACAAAAATCAGTCTTCGGAGGGTGATGCTAAAGTGCTCCAGAGCTGACTAGGAGAGCTAGGAAGGCAAACTTGTTCCTCTCTGATAAGATATAAATAAATTGTTTTTAAAAGTGTGACTCTCCTCTGAGGCCCCCTAAATTCCTCTTTGCAAGAAGCTGGAGCCAAGCTGGTAGAAGTGGGTACATCTGGCCCTTTGAACGAGGCTGTTGGAAATCAGTGGTGTGCTGGTAAATGTTTAACCACTGGGTGGGGCTAGAGCCTAATCTGTAGCATTTGCCCATTTCCATGGTGTAAATACTCCCACCATGGCCAATTTCAAGCTACCAATGTGATGACCCTGAGGACTCTCACCAACAAGTGAGTGGCTCCAGTACACCACTGGATGAAGCACAGTGCTTAAGAACATGAGTTCTGGGGCTGGCCCAGTGGTGTAGCAGTTAAGTGCACGCACTCCACTTCAGCGGCAGCCCGGGGTTCGCAGGTTCGGATCCTGGGTGCGCACCGACACACTGCTTGTCAAACCATGCTGTGGCAGCGTCCTATATAAAGTAGAGGAAGATGGGCATGGATGTTAGCCCAGGGCCAGTCTTCCTCAGCAAAAAAAGAGGAGGATTGGCATCGGATGTTAGCTCAGATCTAATCTTCCTCACAAAAAAAAAAAACAGAAGAAGAACATGAGTTCTGAAGACAATGCCTGGGGTTTGAACCCCAGATCCACCAAATATTAGCTGTGGGACCTCGAACAGAGTTGCTGTTTCTCTCTGGGCTTCAGATTCCTATCTGAAAAATAGAGCTAACATCGGATTAAATGAAACATAAATGAGATGATACATATGAAGTACATGATGAATAATCGTTAACCATTACTATTTAGAGTGCAGTTATTGTTGTTGATATTGTTGTTGTTTCTGTAACCTAAGTGGGAGAATGACTATGACTTCTCTTCTTTAAAAAAAAAAGGCAGAATAAGCATAGTCACATGCCACATAACCTGTCAGTCAATGATGGACCCCATATACAATGGTGGTCCCATAAGATTAGTACCATGTAGCCTAGGTGTGTAGTAGGCTATACCATCTAGGTTTGTGTAAGTACACTCTATGATGTTCGCACAACCATGAAATCTCCTAACAACACATTTCTCAGAACGTATCCCCATCGTTAAGCAACACATGACTGTATTACAAAAACAGTTGATTTTTGCAGCAATGGAACGGCATTTAGCTCATACCTAGGTAATGCATCCCTCAATAGAGCATCTTATTCTTTATAATTAATATTTAAAACTCACCTATAGAAAGAGCTATAGTTCTATTGAAACTTTTAAGTGACAAGGTATGTGCAGGAATTTTGATTTCTCTCTGTTGTCACTTCCTTGGAAGAAGCCTAACTGTGACCTGTGCATCTAGGCTTTCGTTCAACATTCATTGAGTATCTATCATGTGACAAGTCCTGAGCCTGCCACAGACACCTGAAGGGAGGGACAGTGTCTGCGAGGGACCACACAGCCTCTCTAACATTAGCCAAACAGACAGGACAGCAATGATTGGATTCTTAAAACAATGTCATGCAAATTCCACCTTAGTTCTACTGACATCAAAATCTCTGCTCAATTGGCCCACTGATATGACATTGCTCATTCCGTGCTGTTCCTTCTTTTCTCCAAGACTTCAGATCTTGTGGAGGTTCCAGAAGAAGCTGACGGAGGGTATGACCTACGGAAACGCAGCAACAGTGGTAAGTGAGGGAGTGGGGAATCAGGCATCGCCCCCCCACAAATGTGAATCACATTGGTCATCCAGGTCAGCAGGTAGGGAAAGGTGAATGGAAGTCACCTCTCCTTCTCTGCCAGCTCTGGAATTCAATCTGGGCAAGTGTTCAATATTCTGGAAGGAAACTGGGCATAATTACTGGTGGATTTCAGTGATTTGTCTGTTATATTCCCTGAGTCCTATCTCCTAAATTCTCATGCCTTACGGACTTAGCCATATTGGGGTTTAGGAGTCGCTTCTAGACCTTTTTGTTACCATGTCATTTCCCCCACTGATCTACATTAGATTAGCAAACCGTACCAGAAAGAAGCTACTCCAGGCTACATCTGAAGTACCTCAAACCAGCTGAGTTGGGGTGCGGGGAGGGTGCCTCACACTTGGCTCCTCCCCAGCAGAGGTAACTAAGACTCAAAAACTGATATGTACAATCTAGCGAAACATTCTTTATTAATATAATTTAATTTTCTAATAGCTTAAGCCCTTGTTACAATAATTTCTAAAATATTTATTAAAGGCTAACTACGTTCTATTACTTGGTAACATTCAGAAAGAACTGCCTCTTAAACCAGAGCTTAAAGAAACATAACCAGCCGCTTCTGGATTAATCTTGCCAAGCCTCTTTCATGTCAACAACTACATAATCTCCACTCATTCATCCAAAAAATATTTATGAAGCATTTACTATCACCAGCAAAAGTACGTAAGTCACAAAGCTGCCCTCAGGTTCTTCATAATCTAGCAAGAGTGCAGGTCCTGACTTGCGTTAACTTGGGCTGAATGCCCCATTTTCATAGCAGAGGTTACCCCTCCGACTCTAATCCCTGCGTGTGAAGCATGGGGATGTGCCGCCTTGGAGAGATTTTCCACTTGACTAGTCGTCCCTGCCTTTTCCAGACTGGAAGCAGAAGTTCTGCATTCAATACCCCGTAGCTGCTTTGTCAGCAGCTGTCGCTTCCACTTTCCTAGCTCTAGGGTTTCATTTGCATCTTCTCTAGTTAGGACGGTGTCTCTGTGATTCCCACAGGCAGCACGTGCTTAGCTTCCCCCGTGACTCTCCTCCCTAAATAGCGTCAGCGTTCACCAGGATCCCCCTTGCCAAGCCCACACACATCTGCTGGGGTAAGGATTCTTTGGCGTCACGTGGGGAAAACTGTACTTTCAGATCAATGCAAACAATCACTGAGCACTTAGCAGTGCCGTTAGAGAGACAAATGAGATTGCCGGCTGCCAGGGGGACCTCACAGTGGGGCAGTAACACAGCAGGACCACCCAGCCCAAGTCTGTCCAGCAGTACAGATCCAGCAACTGAATTTAGTCAGCAACCCCAGAAATCTTCAGCATCTGAGAACGAACTCACCAGAGACTGGCGCATAAACCAGACCTGCATTTTAAGGCTTCTAGTCTGGTCAGCTGCTCTGTCCCCTAAGTCTGACTTCTGCCTGCATCCTTCCCTTGACACTTCTCGCCAAATCACTGATGGCCTCCTCATTGCTAACTGCACTGGACATATTTGGTCCTTGGCCCCTGCTTGCTCTGAGGTTGACCGCTGGACTTCACTTAGTGACCATGTGGCCTTCAAGCAGTGACCTCGACTCTGTCTACCCCAATTGCCTCATCTTTAAAATGAAGATAATAATAACACCAAATCCATATGGGATTGTGATCTTTAAGTGAGATAATGAATATAAATACTATTCATGCATTGATGACTCTGAAACTTCATATCTAGCATTAGGCTTCTTGGTGCCACCAGATGCCGATAGCCTACTGGACATGACCATCTGGATATGGAATAGGCATCTTAAAGTTAACACATGCAAACTGGACTCCTGATTCCCTCATCCACCCACCCACCCAAACTGGATCTTCCCCAGTTGTCCCTGCTCGGTGAATAGGAACTCCATTCTACTAGTTGATCAGGCCAAAACTTTTGGCATCGGCCTTGACTCCCTCTTCTTCTCACACCTCATCTCCAATCTGTCAGCAGATCTTATCTTCTGCTCTTCAAAATCATGCTCAGCATGTGTCCACCACTTACCTCTCTGCCTCAGCCATCCTGGTCCAGCTTTATTGATGCTGTTGCTCACCCATCCTCTCGTAGTTAAGTTTTCTGCTTGCTCTGGAGGTTTCTTTACTCAAAAAGTGGTCTTCATAGAATTTTATAGTGTGAAGAGCTATATTTAGGAATCATCAACATGAAGTGTGGTTGCTACTCATAAAGTCATCATAAGGTCATAAAGTGTCAGAGATGCAGCTTAGAGCCTCACTTCTCCAAGTGTGATCCATCGACCAGCAGCCTGGGCATCACTTGAGAACCTGTTAGAAATGCAGAATCTGGAGCCAACCCAGGACTGCAGAATCAGAATTTGCATATGAATCTGTGATACGAATCTTGTTAAAGTTTGAGAAGCAGGATCAGAAGTCATTTAGTCCAACCCCCCCACTCCGATACACACACATACACACACACACACAACACACACTGTATAGATAAGGAAACCGAGGGCTGGAGTAATACACTCAAAGACACAAAGTTAGTTATTCACCATCTCTTTTATGTTAAGGGGCAATTTCACAGCCTTATTCAAAGAAATCTGTTGAAAGAACTTAGCAAGCAGCAAACCTCTAAAAAGCTTTGGAGATCTATTAACTATTCCTTTGATCAGCAATAGCTTTCTTTACAATGCACCCTGGGAAGCTAGAGGGATTAATTATGCAGCAGTTTGCTTCAAAACATTTTCTTTTGATTGGATTTAACCCCCTGTCCGTGCAGTTGGAGAAACAGCATAGAGAAAACTCCCTGCTTATGTGATCCAAGTTCCCACTCGTCTTCTCACAGTCATGGCGAGGAGGGTGCTGGCTTTTCAGAAGCAGTGTTTGGGCTTCCAGGCACAAGCAGTTCTGCATTATGTGTTTCATTTATGTTCCAAAAAGTACACAGTGCTCACAGGTATTATTTCTGCCGGCCAGGTGTTATGTCAAAAAATATTTCCAAAGGAGTATTTCCAAACCTACCTTAGAATAGGGTACAATTCCTACCCATTCCTTTACTGCTAAGAGTGTAGTCCCTGCTTTCTCTCTTACAAGTCTCATTGTTGTTTGCAATACTGTTCCTGAATGCATCAGAAATATAAATGGGGAGAGTTGTTGGTCTTCACCTTTAGCTTAACTGCCAGAAACTCCGCTCAAAGCAAGGTAATGAGCAAAGGGAGAAGTGAAATCTGGGTTGCGTATTTCAGCTTGAAATGCTAAATAATGACGTTACTGGCTGCCTTCAATAATTGCATTGCCTTATGACTATATGTGATCATAACTTGCCTGGAAGAGAAGCAGGGCGAACAGAACAAAAGCAAGACAAATTCCTAGAAATATTCTTCAAAAAGGTCTGGGTTAATCACATCCACTTGAGGATATTACAAAGCCCAATATTATCTTACTTTTTGCCAAAGCAGAGATATTTTGCCCAGAAAGGAAAAAGGCAAGATCAGATTTGGAAAATTTATCCTTGCCTTTAGCATGCACTGTTTCTATATCTCAAACTTTCATTTGTCACCATAAAAATGAAGCAAATATTTTAATGGCTCCTTTAGCAGATGCCCCTGGTTTTGGTCCCCCTCCAGTGGACAGTTCCCAAATTACAGATGCAAATATTTATGTTGTGTTTCTGCAACACACATTTAATATCTAGACAAGGTAAAGATCTCTTTAAAAGCATAGAAGTTTCTCTTTTCAGCCATGTGGCCCAGGTGTGATAAAATCACTAGACATTTGGCAGAAGCAAATACAAACTCTCTCTGGAGGAAGAGAATTTAAACCAAGACCTCAAAAATTTCCACAAATGAACTTTCAAAAAATATGAGCTAAGAATCAAAATTCACCAAACATACAAGAAAATGAGCCACCATGATTGAGAGTTGGCCAAAACAACTAATTTCATGATCAGACTCTCAAAGACTATACATGTTGGAATTATCAAATACAGTCATGTATCGCCTAATGACAGGGATATGTTCTGAGAAATATATCATCAGGCAGTTCCATTGTTGTGCAAACATAGAGTGTACTTACACAAACCTAGATGATATAGCTTATTACGCACCTAAGCTATATGGTACTAATCTTAGGGAACCACCATCATATATGTGGTTCATCATTGACCAAAACAATCATTATGCAGTGTATGACTGTAAAGAAATATATAACTATATAGTTATGTATGTTTAAAGATCAAAAAAATGGACTAGAAAATATAACAAAGGAACAAGAAACTGTCAAAATTGAACAGGCAAATTTTAAGAAAAACCAAATAGAACTTTTAGAAATAAAAATAAAAAGAAATTTGGTTGATGGATTTAATAGCATATTAGATATAGCTGAAGAGAGAATTAGTACCCTGGAATATAGAGTCAAAGAAATTGCTGGGAGTATAGCCAAGGAGACAAAGCAATGGAATTCCTGAAAGTAAAAGAGACATGGAGGATGAGTGAGAAAGTCCAACATGAATCTAATTGATATTTTAGAAGTACATAAAGAGAAAATGGGTGACAGATGATATTCTATAAGATACTAGCTAAAGACATTAATCCTTAAATTCAGAATCTATACCTAAACCCATCTTGGTGAAACTGCAGAATTTCAAAGACAGAAGAAAATAGTAAATGCAGGCTGAAAGACAGATTACCTACAAAGGAGTGAAAATTAGACTGATAGCTACTTCTTATAAGGTACAGTAGAATGATATCTTCAATATGCTGAAAGAGAAATAACTCAACTCAGAATTATAAATGACGCAAAAGCAAAACTATCTTTCAAGAATATATTTTCAGACAAAAACTACGTCTTCAGTGCAATTAATAAAGACCCACACTCAAGAAATTTCAAAAAGTACCTCAAAGAGGAAAATGTGATCTCAAAGGAAGGATCAAGAAGCAAGGAATGAAGAGCAAAGAAAGTGGTAAACATGTACCTAAATCTAAGCAAACATTGACTACATTAAAAAAAAACAATAATGTTAATAAAATAATAAAAATTTGTGAATAAAACATTAAGATATATATTCTAAACTTGCATCTACCTAATACGTAGCCTCAAAATGACAGAAACTCAAGGAGGAATTGACAGAATATTAGGAAAATTGATATGCCTCTTTGTAGTGAGAGATTTTAACACATCTCTCAGTCATTGGCAAATCAGGGAGACAAAATGATTCAATATGGACATAAAGGATTTGAGGACACGTGTGACAATCTTAATCTAATTGATTTAAAAAGGACACTCCACCTAACAAATGGAAAATTCACGTTCTTTTTAAGAACACATGGAAGAGTTATAAAAATGGATCACCTGCTAGACCAGGAAGCCAGCTTCATACATTTCAAAGAATTAATATTATATAGAACACATCTTTCTGACTATAGTGCACTAAGATAGAAATCAATGGTCAAAAGATACCTAGGAAAGCCCATAATTTGGGAAATTAAAACACACTTTTAAAAAGCTCGTGTATCAAAAAAGCATTTCTAAGGAAAATTGGAATATATATAAAACTAAGTAATAAGGACAACACTATGTATAAAAATTTGTGATACAGCTAACATTGTGACTAGAATATTTAGCTTTAAAAATTATTGTATTAGAAAATAAAAAAGGCTGAAAAGTAATAATCTAAGCACCATACTTAAGTCAGAAAAAAGAAGTAGAACAAACCCAAAGAAAGCAGTAGGAAGGCAATAATAAGAGCAGAAATTATTAAATTACAAAGATAGATCAATAAATCCTAAGAGTGGTTCTAAAAATAAAATTTACAATCTCTAATAATTTTTTAAGACGAAGAGAGATGAAGCAAAAAGCAATAATTAAAAAAAGGATGAATATAACAGAGATTGACAGGAAAATAAAAGACTCTCATGGCCAACTTCATGCCAATAAATTTTTAAAAATTTTTTAAATGGACAAATACAAAGATATCAATGACCAAAGTGTGACTCAAGAAGAAATAGGAATAGAGAACTTAAATTTGCTTCTGATCATAATGGAAACTGAATTAATATTTTAAATTTCTGCAGAAGGAAAATACGAGGCCCAGACAATTTTGTAAGCACATTCTACCAAAGATTTAAGGAATAAAAAATTTCCAGATTACATCAACTCTTCCAGAAAAACAAAAAGTGACAAGGAGGAAGGACAGCAGCGTGCTCTAACTTAGTTTATGAGGCTAATACTCACCTCAAAACCAAATGATGATGGTGTGAGAAAGGGAAATCACAGGCTAATCTCCCTCTTGAATGTGGATGCAGGAATCTGAAGCAAAATCTTATTAAACTGAATCCAATAACATATTTCAAAAAGGTAATGCATAATTAGCAAGTTGGACTTATTCCAGGGATGCAAGTTTGGGTCAATGTCAGATAAGCTAGTAATGTAACTTGTGCGTTATCAGGTTAAAGAAGAAAAAACAGATAATCATGTCATTAGAAAACACAGTGGTGGGCCGGCCCCGTGGCTTAGCGGTTAAGTGCGTGCGCTCCGCTGCCGGCGGCCCGGGTTCGGATCCCGGGTGCGCGCCGAGGCACCACTCCTCCAGCCATGCTGAGGCCGCGTCCCACATACAGCAACTAGAAGGATGTGCAGCTATGACAGACAACTATGTACTGGGGCTTTGGGGGAAAAATAAAAAAAAAAAAACCTAAAAAAAAAAAAAAAAAAAAAAAAGAAAACACAGTGGTGGACATGGGCCTCACAGGACTGCAAAGTAAAAAAGAAAGACAGACTATGAAAAAGGAAAAGAGGAAAGTTTTGGGGGGATGTAGCAAAAACTAAAGATTCATTTTGCATCTGTAACATTAGAAAATATGCCTGCATAATGGACATATTCTTTGAATACTTGTCATGGGTGAAATGAACAACCAAATTATTTTTAATACAATGAATTTAAAGCACCAAGCATACAGGGTATATGACATATTTTTGGTAAAATATTTACCTTTGTTATTCCTTTCCCTTCAAATCAAAGTCTTAGAAGTAGCCAGAAGGAATGGATTTTAAAAATCATTTTTTTGCACTGTTCCAGCTCTGCTTGCAACCATATAGCTGAAAACACATTTGGGGTAACTTCAAATAATTTTCAGCATAGTTCACAAAAATGGTACACATTTCATACCAGATGGCTAATGGATATCAATAAAAAGCTAAAATAATAGGAAATGACAAAATTGTAAAATCAGTCCAAACTGATCATTGCATATGCACCTAATGCAGTCCCCCTTCTTTGCTCCAATCAAGAATTTTCTAGGAAGATTCTCTTTGCATGTTTTTATTCAAATATTCTTTTAGAAGTGTTCAGTTTTATACTTACAGAATCAAGTATTTATAGCAGGATTTCAGATAATCACGTAATACAGAGAAGAGTGTTGCTGGTCTCTAATCTTTTTAAACTGATGTTGAGTAGCCAAAGATTGAGGCAGACAAGATCCATAGAATTGGGCCTTCGTTTTCTACTTACTACAGACCAGAGCTCCTCCATTGACAGCAAATGGCTTCCTAGCAATAATGGAATTGCGTCCACAGGCTCTGGAACTATAAACTGGAGAACAGATGTTTACTAAGCATCAATACGTTTACAGGGGCTCTTGTTCTGCAGTGTGTTCTCTACATCATGGTTATTGAGTCCATTCTAAGGACAATGAAGGTTGTCAATGCACTAACTGAAATAGGTTTTAGAGCTTTCTGTGGTGTGTTCCCTTCCTCTGCTGATTAATTCCTTGATAATCTGAAGGGAAAACAAAGGAAAGACTAAAGCAGCAGCGTGTTATTTGTAAATGGCAAGTCATCTAAATGGTAGGTTAATTTTGACACCACACTTTATTGTGTAAACTTTTGCCACATTTTTGTTTAAGGAAGATACACATGGTGAGAATAAGACCATGACATTGGTCACCAGGGTAAATTTGCCTGTTCAAACCAGCTAAGGCAGAGGCCCCCATACCCGTCAGGGACCTCCCACAGCTGTGTATGTGGACAGTGAAAACGCCTGCCCATTTTGAGAAGCCTTGTTGTTTATTGAAGGCCACAGAATGGCTGCTTAAATGCAAAAGAAGGAGAAGTATACATTCCAAGAGGAAACTAAGAGAGAAACCACTATTTTATTTTTTTATTCCCAATAATAGCCCCAACACATTGACAATACGAGATCGAGGAAATATTTTGAACTTTAAAACTAAAGCTTTAATCTGCAAAATAGAATATAGATATCATTAAGGAACTAGAATCAAGACATTGAAAAATAGATAAAAGAATCTGGTATTTAGAAAAGATAATTCGAATATAATTAAACTGGGCCATACCTCACCCACCACGCCATTAATAAACGATTGGATACATTCAACAAAGATGAAGGACATGGTCTCTGCTCATGAGATGAGCACTGCCAAATGAGACCAAGTTGTGAACACACAATTGCCAAGCAATCTAGAGGATTTGCGCTTGCTGGAGGCATGTACAAGGGTGTGGGCTTGCAGAGGAAGTGGTGCAGAATGCTACATGGGGAGGCAGGGGAAGCGTCACGTGGAAGATGACATGAAAGTTGGGTCACTAAGGTTGAGAAAGAGGCAGTGAGAAGTAAAGTAGAAGCTATGGTGCAGGAAATAAATAAAGCCACAGCTTTCAAGCATGTTTCCAAAACGTGGCGACTGGATCCTAAACCTCCTGCTTTCTCTTGTCTCCTTCAGTGTTTACGTATCCAGAAAATGGCACTGACGATTTTGGAGACCAAGCAAAGAACATAAGCCATCAGGTATTTATGGATGTCACAGAAGACAGACCAGACAGAGTCCTTGGATCATACTATGGATCACCACCCAAATGGGTCATGAAATCAGTGGGTCCCAGATCAGCATCTTTAGAGAATAGAATAGAATAATGTAGCATAATGTGCCATAGCATAGATAGCATGGAGTAAAACAGAAACATCACAGTGCACCAAAGGTAAAAAGGATAAGTATTTTTTGTATACTTTCGTTTCTGTTATATATGTTATAGACAGGTTGATACATATCTGTAGTGTGTAACATATAATTACTTAATATATCATGACTATATTTTATAGTATACAAGTATATATTTATATCTTCATTTTTAAATATAATAAGAATAGAATAGAATAGTATAGCATAAGGTACTTGAACTTTGGAGTAGCAGAGTGAATCACAGGTAAAAATGATATAGTTGTGTGCATCTTTTGTTTATGTTTTATATATATGGCATATGTTTATTATACTATTATATACTTAAATATATTATACAATTATATTAGATATATATTTTATATAATATACATAATTAAATAGTATATAATATTATACAATTGTTACATATTATATAATTTTTAATTTACTATATATTATAAAGTGTAAAAATTTATATAGCATTAACATTTATTTGGTTAACAATAATAGCTGATATTTATATAACACTTGTAAGACTCTTGTAGAGTCTGTAAATTGGGGACAACAATAGAATACCTCACAGAGCTGTTGTGAGGTTCATATATGCTAATGCTTGTAACATAATGCCTGGCACACAGTACGCTATCAAAAACGGTAGATTTATTGTCATTATTGCAAGGTTTCATAGCCAGTAGATGGTGATTCCGTGATATAAACTGAGTTAGTCTGATGCCAGAATCTATGTTTTTTCACAACATGAATGAACTAATTGCCAGTTGAATATACCTGGTTCCCCTTAGTATGCTAGATACCAAATTTTAGGCTACCTGATAAAAAGGCAATTTTAGGAAGTGGAAGTTGTTTACCACTAGTCATATGTCCCTCTTTCTATAGAGAGAATATTCCCATTCCTGGGGCCAAGCTTGTGTCACCTCTCATGAACAACTATATCAAAGAAAAAATTTATTTGAAGAAAATTGCAGTATTTCTGTCAAAGACTTCCACATCGTTTTCAGATGGTTTGTAATGAAATCAAACTCAGCTAAGAAATTAAAAATAAGCCTCTTGTTGAAACAAAGTCTTTAATAATGGTTAGCTGTTTTGACACTTAAGATCCATACACTGGAATTACATTGCATTCACTTCTCCATTTCCTATTTTCTTTCTTTCTTGTCTCTGTTTTTTCCTCCTTCCTTTTCTCATTTCTCTTTTATTTTCTCTTTCAGGGACCTCTTTGCAAAGACCCATTACAGACGACCACCTATGTTGCCTTGTACAAATTTGTACCACAGGAGAATGAAGATTTGGAAATGAGGTAACAACATTTTTTAAAGGAAAAAAAAAGAAGGAAGGAAAAAAAGAAAAATTTAAAGTCAGTATTTTTCCATGTGAAAAAATAATTGAATTTGTGCTACCTCCTAATGCTTTAAAGCAGTGATTCTCAAACTTTGGTGTGCCTCCAATGACCTGCAGGGCTGGTAACAGATAGATTACTGGAACCCATCCCTGGAGTTCCTGATTCAGCAGGTCTGGGGTGGGGCATAAGAATTTGCATTTCTGATGGGCCTGCAGGTGGTTCTGATGCTGCTGATGCAGGGACCACCCTTTAAGAAGCACGGTTTTAGTACATCATGAACAGAACTGCTAATGGGAGTTTCATGAAGGTTGAACATCAGATGCACTTGGCATCCTGTGGGGTCTAATAGAGAATCACAAATGTATTTAATGCTCAAATTGATTGAAGAATCAAACTAAAACTCTTTGCTTACCCTGTGGGAGGCTTGCAAGTCCCCCTGGCTCACACCCTGAAGTCTGCTTTTGTTTTAGGAACCCTTTCACTTCATGGTAACTGAAACACTGGAGAGCATAGGGGGAGCTTTGGGACCCTCAGGAAATCTGAACCTTTCTCTTGACCACGGGTTAAGGTTTCCTCATGTTTCAGGGATAATTAACCTGGAGTCAGTTCTGTGTTCACATCCTCCTTATTGTGTGACTTTAAGCAATTCATAAACATCTTATTACTCTGATTTCCTTATTTTAAAAGAATAATAATGAGATCTTTCCTCTAAGGTATTTGTGAGGATGAAATGAATAATGTTCATAAAGCATATAGCACAGTGCCTAGTCATTGTAAACACTCAGTAACTAGTAGTTATTACAATTTTCGTAGTGTGGTGTTCACTGGCCTGTCTCAAAAATAAGGTTTTACTCCTTTCCTCCATTCATGAACCCAAAACATAAGTAATCTCGGGAGAAGGCTTTGGTGTTTTCCATTCCCAGAGCGGGATAGAAGGGGCTGCTTTTCCAGTCAAATAGGCACTTGGAGATTGGTCCTTTCCTCTTCAGAAGAGAATGGAGAGATAAATTAGCACTGAAAACTACTGAAACGTCAGAGCATTAAGAGAATGGCCTCCGGCCCAGTGGCACAGTGGTTAAGTGCGCACGCTCCGCTGCGGTAGCCCGGGTTCGCTGGTTTGGATCCCGGGCGTGCGCTGACGCACTGCGTGGCAAGCCAGGCTGTGGCAGCGTCCCATATAAAGTAGAGGAAGATGGGCATGGATGTTAGCCCAGGGCCAAAAGCCCCTGCAAAAAGAGGAGGATTGGCAGATGTTAGCTCAGAGTGGATCTTCCTCACAAAAAAAAAAAAAAGGAAAGGAAAGAAAATGGCCTCCGTTTTGGGGTGGACTCCCCTTGTCTGAATGCCATGTAGGCCAAGTTACCAGTCACTGGTCATTCCCTGCAGATGGCTTCCAGAAGACCTTGTCTTTCCACCCTGGAGCAAAGTGAGCTTCTCCACATCCTCAGGCTTGTGCCATTTCCCAGGCATGATCCCTCTCGCACTTGTCTGAATATGGTTTCCCACCTCAGTGAAATCTGCCTCTCCTCTTCCACTTTCCTGAAAGCCCCTTAAAAGGAGAGAGCTCCCAAAAAGGCTCCAGTTAGACCCTGTTTCCCAGGTTCCATACGCTGCTGGGTCAACCTCAGCAGCTCAGCTGCCCCTCGTGGTGCAACATCTAACAAGGCTCCGTAGTGGATATGTGCACTGCCGGGATCTGGTAACTCCCCCTGGCTCTCACCCAAGGTCAACTCTGTTTCAATATTCATTTCCAGTCTGCTTCCAAGTGATTCTTGGGGCTTCCCAGAACAGAGTTCAGGGCTCAGATCCTGGTTCCTTAAATTTGTTCAAACAATTAGGCTCTTGAACATCTGAGTTTTCTCCATTGTTGAATAAGAATCGTCATGCTGAATTCACTGGCTGGAGTTGTAAACACTACCTGAACAGTCTGCCATCAGTGCAGGAGGAGGAGATGGTATTTATCAAGTGAAGCCCTGTTATATCAGAGTTATAACAAGCCCTGAAGGTTAGAGCCTGCCTAGGATTCATCGCTGGAGTGTGGTGCCTTGCCTTCAGTTGACGGTCCACAATTAACTATCTGCTAATGAAGACAAGGATGGCATAGATTTACTTTGTAATAAATACAGTATAGTATTGGGTCCTTCTTCAGATTGTCATTTGGGTATGTAGAAGTTAAAATTTAACAACTTCCTATTGTGTGGGTCCCACCATTTTATATTAGAAGATTATTCTGAAGTCGTCAGATGAAAAAAACAATTCCAGAGAAATATAGAATGTTATTGGGGAACTGAGGAATGACGTCTAGCTGCCTGGGGGTGGTCATAACTTTTAGTGCTTATTTTAGTTGGTCGCAGGCCATTAAAAGTCAAGTTATCTGGTCACGCGTCAAACCTTTTCAGTCTGCTTCGAGGCAAAGAGGACTATTCATTCCCAGGAGTGAAATGTCTGCATTACATAGACTGCAAGATTGGAGTGATAAATCATACTTTTTTTTTTTTTTTCCCAAAGAGATTGTAGGTTCCCATTTTAAAAGCCGGGTGCTTGATTTAGGATATGTAAGGCAGTGCTTTGAGGATTTGGTATAATTCCTTGAAGCAACTGGGGCTTTGTGAATTATCTTCTTCTCCTTAAACCATAAGGTAGAAGAAAATTCCTTTTAACCAAATATCATTCTTATCCACCTGTGCTCTGATCCAAGGGAGCACACTGGGTATTGTCCTCAGGAAAGAGAACAAAGGGGGTGAGAGTCGAGGGAATGTTAGGAGCGTGAGCTTGAGGTAAAGAAGGCCCAGCTGGCAAAGCCAACAGTCCCAGATCAGAGCAGATGAATCATGGCTTCAGCAAGCATTTGTGTATATCTGCGCAATAAGAAGGAAAGCTTTCTCTGCCCACAGCCAGCAGTCCCGACCTCTCTACAGACCTCCAGATTCACGTCCCTACCTGCCTGCCTTAGGAGTCGATGGCACCCAGAGGCTCCACCCCCCCTCCCACAAACCTGCTTCTTAGAGTGAATTATGTCACCACCTGCCCAGGCTTCAAGCCAGCCCCTAGAGGCTTCCCTTTACTTTGTGCCCAAAATGTATTTAATTTTCAAGTCCTACTGGTTCTCTTTGCCTAAAATCTGCCGTATCCATCCCCACCTTCATCTCTCCCCTGGACTGGTATAGCAGACCCTACCTGGTCTTTGTGTCTATAGTCTTGCCCCCTTCTCCTCCCTTCCCATCTGTTTTGGGTGGAGAGGACACTAAGGTGACAGTACAGTGTACTGAGTGTCGTCTAAACCTTGGATTCAGATAGAATGGATTCACATCCTAGCTCCTCTGCTTTCTAACAATAGAGCATATTGCCTAACTTTCTGAACCTCTGTTTTCTCATCTTGAAAATAGGGGTAGTAAGGCCTGCCCTTATAAAATGGTTGTGATTAAATAAGACAACAATATCTGGTACATAGTAGGAGCTTAATAATGTTAGTTCCAATCAGTTCTATTCATGCTACAGAAGTAGATCTTCCTTTTCAGGCTGAAGAAATGAGAGAGAGAGAATGAGCATATCAACATGGTTTCACTGAATGTTTAAGAATAAAAAGTATGGGCATCACTTGACCTGGGTTTAAGTCCTAGCCTAGCCACTCACTAGCTGTGTGACCCTCATGAAGCCCAGAAAAGTTACACAAGCCATCCAAGCCTCTGCTTCTTCACGTGTAAAAGGAGATAATCATTATGCCTGCCTTAGGTCTGCTCATGACACGTATCTTTGCTTAAAACTCTCCAATGTCCTCCCGTTACCCTTGGGAAGCCAGAATATTTACAGGGACCTTGAGGACCTGCACAGTCTTATTCCTGGTGACTTCTCTGCTTTGTCTCGCACCACCGTTCCGCTCACCTCTCCGTTCCATCCACACTGGCCTTCTTTTATTCACCAAAAGGACCACACTACCACCTGCCAAGGAATTTTTCTTCCAGAAGTCTGCTCTTCCCGTCTCATCCTCCTATCCACCCACTACCACCACTATCACACACACACACACACACACACACACACACACTCTCTCTCTCTCTCTCTCTCTCTCTTCCAGTTGACTGTTACGCACCTACTAGATCTCAGCTCAGATTTTGCGTCCTTGGTGTAGCTTTTCCTGATACTCCCAATCTGAGTGAGATTCCCCTGTTATAGAATTTTATGACACCATGTTTCTTGTCTTGAAAGCACTTATCTCAACTTGTATTTATATATTTCTGGAATTATTTGGTTCAAACTTCCATCTGCCTTGTAAACTCCATGAGAACAAATCTGTAATTGCCAACCCTTATATCCCTGGAGTGTAGTACAGTTCTTAAAACATAGTAGATGCTTAATAAATATTTGATGAATGAATGAATGAGTATTGTAGAGAATAAGTGAACTAATGCTGTGCCTGGCATAGACAGTTAATGGACAAATCAAGTCCATGGTAATATAATGGAAACTATAAAAGAGGAAGCAAACCAAGCTCAGAGGGGTTAGCAACCCTGATTCCTAGAGGAGATGGGCCTTGAGCCCACGATGAGTATTATTTGTCAAGAAGAAATTATAGAAAGGAGACCAAAAGTGGCCCATGGTCGTATTCACAAAGAACAAAGAGTTTAAGAGAATTTGGAAGAATCGCTGTTAAGCCTTTACTGAAGCACTCGTGGTTGGGCGATGGGAGAGCAGGCCTCAGAGAGGAGAAGCTGGGTGCTGCCCCCTCATTCTTAGGGCAGTAAGTACTCCTCTTAGAAGTGCTGTGGTCCCGTCACTAGTCTCCAAATGCTGTCTAAAGGCAGAGTCTTCACACAGTCTGCTTTACTACAGTTTCAAAATAAACTTCCTCCATAAATTCCTCACCTACCCAAATCTCTGCTCCCATAGCATGATAATGCTCTATCTTTCACCATCATAGGCAGAGCGTAGGAGAGAACAAGGATGCAGGGCAGAAAAGA